GTAAACAATGTTCCTCATGTAATCGTAGATTAATGATACCAAAAAGAAAAAAAAAAAGCCTTTGATGGCCCCTCCCTTACAAAGGAAGATGGGCATCTCTAGCCTGGTCTTCAAGGTCCCGAGGAGCTGGGCCCTAATCAACCTCTTAAGCACATGCTCCCTGCTTTCCCACTCCTACTTGCTATGTTTTTATTTAACCAACACTCATATGTCACTTTCTAAGTGCCAGGCACTATCTAAGTGCTTCATAAATTTTAACTTGTTTAATCTTGACAGAAATCCCTTGAAATAAGTATTGTGATCCTCATCATCTCCATTTTAAAGGTGAGGACCTTGATACACAGAGAAGTAAGTGACTTGTCTTATGTCCACAATGCCACTAAATGGCGTGGCTGGGATTTGAACCCAGGCAGCCTGGCTCCAGTCCACACACTCCACTGCTGCTATGTTGCCTCTCTGTCAGTCCTGGGCACCAGCCCTACTCTCTCCTTTTTTAGGTACAATTCAGTAGCCACGCCCATTTCCATGAAGCCTGCCCTGCCTCCCAAGCTGAATGAATTCTTCTAGTCCCCATGTTCCCACAAGACCTTGCACAGCCTTCCCCATGGCAGCCCTCCTCACAGGGTTCTGTTGTTCTCTGCTGGAAGCTGAGAACCTCAAGGGGCAAGGCTGTGTCTCACCCTCTCTGCTTCCTCAGTGCCCAGCCCAGTATCCTCTTATAGGTTCTCCATGTAGCAACCAGAGGCATCTTTAAAAACAAGACAAGTTTTTGTCACTCCCCTGCTTAAAGCCATCCAGTGACAATCCATTGCATTTAGAATAAAATCCTAAATCCCAACCATGGCCTAGAAGGCTCTGTATAATCTAGTACCTGCACCCCCCACCCCATCCCTTATCTGTTGCAATTCTTTCCCTCACTCTGCTCCAGCCACACTGGCCTGCTGCTCCAGTCTGTCTCCAAAAAGTCCAGACTGTCTTCCCAAAGCCCAGGTTCACATTATGGCCTCTGCCAGAGTGATTTCCTTTGCTTGCGATGTTTGGCTTGACATCCTTACATGATCGGCTTCTTGTTATTTGTGCCTCAGTTTCATTTTACCATTTCAGACAGACCTTCCCTATTTGTCTGTCTCTATGCTTAAATGTTTTCATATTTACTTTTTAATTGTTATTAATGACTGTGCCTATTGCAAGTCTCTAGGCCCCATGGGAGCAGAGATCTGGGATGTCTTGTTCAGAACCTAGAACAGTGCCTGACACTCAATGTAAATGTTGGAAGAAGAGTAGATGCTCACCAAGGTCCCTTTGTATATTAATAATATAACATAATATAATATAATATGAATAAAATATATAATACAAATTTCTCCACTATCTGAAAGTAGAGTGTTTCATAAGCCAAAATGGTGTAGTGAGAAAACAATCACCATTTTGTAAAAACAAAAATCCATTTCAGTTAGCAAAAACAGGCACTAGTGCAGGTCTTTCATAAAGGTGAAGCGGGATAAGGTGAACTTTTAGGTAGTGTGGGAAGCCTGTATAATATGATGTAATATAATACAATATAAATATAAATTGGCCTTATCGCAGGCTAAAAGCTGGGATAATTTCACAAGCTGAAATTCACTATCTTTATTGCCTCCTTATGTCTTGCCTACAATCATACTCCCAGAAGTGAGGAAATTTTATTGACTGTTCTCTGCTGACTTCCCTTCAGCAGGGATGCTTAGAACTCCATATATGTGTTTTAATTTGTCCATCTAAGACTCAGGAAAACTTGTGTGACACTGCCTTCCCCATTTTGCTGGCAGGGACTTCCCTGAAAAGAGAAAATGCTGACTTGTGAAGTGCCCGGAACCTGACAGGAGCACACACTGCTGTCACAGCTGTCACATTTCATCAGTAATGGGAGAGACTCCGTGCTCCAGAAAAGGCACAAGGGCTCTAAGTCCTGCCAGGGCCTAGGCCAAGCACTACTCATTTAACACCTCAAAGGAGTGGCCGTCTGTAGCCCAGAGGGATGTGCAGCCAACTCGCTGCAAACAGGAAAGAGAGGCTTCACGTGCTTGTGAAGACAAGCAGTGTGGCAGGAATGTCGAGAAATGGGGCCTGGGCATCTGACTGCAGAGCCTTTGGTAATGAGAACGGAGGGGCTAGCTGGGAGATCTGCACGACAGCCAGAACCACCATCAACCATCTCCCAAAGGATATGGAAGGGAAATGTGTCAAGGTGTCTAAAGACTAAGTGCCATATATTGTCATCCTCTTAAGAACCAGGAAGGACATTTCTTACCCCACCTTCAAGCCTCTTTGAGCTGGGGAGGGAAATGGCATCTCAGGTTTATGGGCTGAGAAGGTCTAAGGCCTAATCTTCTAGGCAAAATGGTGAACTGAACAGAATTCTCAATTACGAGTTCAAAGGTCTTGACTCTGGTCTCAGCATTGTGCTACTCTGGGTAAATTCCCTTCCATCTCTGACCTTTGTCTTCCTCATCTGTAAAATGTGGCTGTTGGGTCTGATGATTTCCAAATCAATGATTTCCATGACTTTAAGCCTTCTTTAGGAGCTTATGGTTCAGAATACTTTGAAAGGAAGCTCTCACTTTTTCTTTTTCATGATGGCGCTCAATTTGTGTTTTGGTAGCCCTTGCAAATTTTCACTGGTCTTTGGCCACAGTGTAGGTAGTGGAGATGGACAAATCTGGGTGGGTGAAACCTACTGAGGTCTGATGTACCTCTTGTTTTTTTGGAAATAACTTCTCTAGTGCATGTGGCTTATGGCCTCTCTCAAAACTTCCTGCTAGGGAACAGGAATACTCAGAACAGATCGAGAGAGGAAAGTCATGATTTGATTTACTAACTTCCAAGGTGGAGCAATCCTGGAATAGCAGAAGTTGTTACCGATGTTAAAATTCTTCTGCACTAAATGATATGATGCCTTGGGTTTGCTTCAAAATAATCCATGTGTGTGTGTGTGTGTGTTTATGTGATGAGAGTGGGTGTAAGTATAGATGAAAGAAAATTGGCCAACTGTTGAAGCTGGATGATGGGTATGTGGGGGTTTATTATACTATTCTATTTTTTTTAAAAAACATGTTTGAAATATTTCATCACAAAAGGCCTTTTGGAGACTGACTCCAGCCTTTCTCTCCACTTTCATTTCACAGTCCCCATCTCAGGGACCCTTGGGAATAGTAACATCACCCTGGTGGCTGTGATTTCACACCTCTAGGCCTTTATACACTGTTTCATCTGTCTGAGGTACTTTTCCTCTTCTTTCCCTACAGTTCATCACTCCTGCCTCTGAGATGCCACAGCCTCTTTTACTCACCTAGATTGTAGCACTTATCACATCATATTGCAACTGTTTTCTTTCCTGCTTCCTCTGCTGGTCTGTGTCCTCCTGAGGACACTTCTCTGTCTCTCCAGTGCACAGGCAGTAAGAGGTCCTCAGCACATGTTTACAGAGGGAATAATAGCAGGAAGAGTAGCTACCATTTTTTTGAGAATTTATTATGTGCCAGGCAGTGCCATGAGCTCATTGTATAGGTATTTCATTAAATCTTTACCACAAGTGGGTACTATTAACCTGTCTTCTCAGAAGGTCACTCATCCAAAGTCATGTCCTAGCGATAGAGGTAAGATTCAGACTCAGAATGGAAACCACTCTGTTCTTCTCCCTGCATCTGGAATTCTAAAAGACTTCTCTATAAATGTTACACAACAGACACAGGATTTGGGAGCCTGGGTTTTAGGCCCAATTCTGCTACTAAACTGCTGAGTGACCTTGAGTAAATCCCCTCTGCCCCCTGGGCTCAGTCTCCCCATGAGGCAGTCTGTGAGCAAGAGCATCACGTGATGCAAAGGCCCTCTCAGCTTCAGCTCACATGGAAAAAAAGGTTTCCTTTTACACATTTGGTTTTCTGCCGCTGGACTGGCTTTGCTGTTTGGGAACCTCCCAGCTTCTGGTATTCCTTCAATCCCTTTTTTTGCTAATTGCCACCTCCCAGAGCCCAGTCAAGTTCCTGACCTGCTGCTTGGGTCCCCCCCCTTCTCCCTTCCCTCCCTATGGGCTTCACTCCAGAAGTGGGTGCGGAACCCTGGGCCGGAGAGACGGGAGGCGCGGAGCTGCGGGTTAGTGCGGCTTCCCCGCGGTTTCCCGGCGCCCTCCCCCCTAACAGGAACTCAGCCTCACACTTTCTAGGGATGTTCCGAGGACAGTCAGTCAGTGCTTGCAGCCGCCAGCCTGAGGCATCAGTGTTAGGATCTCCGAAGGGGCCCGTGGTCCTGAGCTAGGGTGCAAGTGGGCTTCTGGAGGGAAGGGGGGCGGCGCGTTCCTTCCTCCTAGCTTAGGCCCAGCCCGCCCAGCTGAGGCCCGGGACTCTTCGGTGCCTGGCTCCCCTTCCCGCCCTCTTTCCGATTTCCAGCTGGGACCCGCCATTGCACCGCCAGGCCTTGGCGAACGGCGGACCCACGCCCTCGAGACGAGCGGCTGTGACCAGGCTCCACTCCCCAGCTTGCCCCGACACTGCTTAGGGGAAGCCGAAATCCCCCATCGGTGCATCTTCCCACCCCCAGGGGACGCCGGAGGCCCCAGCCCCTCGGCTTTGTTCCAGGCTCGTCAGGAAGCGGCCGGCCGGCAAGAGCTGAGGGGAGCAACCCCCGCGGGGGCGAGGACCGTCCTCGGCGGCCGTGATCCCGGACCCGGACCCAACAAAGGGAGGTGCCGGCCCCGGCGGGACAGGGCTGCCCGGGAAGGGGACCCCGCCAGGCGCAGGAGCTGTCCCCGAGGTGGTGCTGAAGCGAGAAGGAGCCAGTGGCCCTCCGCCGCGCCCCGGAAGAGCCGGCGGCGGCCGAGCGCTACGGGAGAAGGAAGGAGGGCCGGAGGAAGCCGCCCGCCGCAGCCCCGCAGCGCCGGGCCTACGGCTAGGGTCCCCCCGGCCGACCTGCGCCGGCGGGGGCGGGGGCGGCTCAGCAACAGGGCGAGCGCGCGTTCTACGAACCTGTTGGAGGCTGCAGCTCCTCCGCGGCCGACCAGGGCGCCCGGGACCGAGATTCTGGCGCGCCTCTCCTTCCCCCTCTTCCCGGACTCCTCCGCGGAGGCGCTCCCTCCTGCCTGGGCTAGCACATGTGCCCGCGGGGGGCGCCGAGTCCCGAATGTCAGCCGAGCTGCGGGGCACAGAGCCGAGAGGCCCCCCCCAAGGGCAGTCCCGCTGCCAGGGAGACCCAAGCTTCCTGAGAAAGGAGGCGGGGGCTGGGGCCTCGGGCGGGAGAGGGCGCCAGCGGAGATGTCCGTGAGACCAAGACGGAGGCACGGGGGAGTTTCCCATACAGGCACTTCTGCCCTCAAGTTCGGGGAGTTAGGGTCCTGTTAGGGAACGAAGGCATCCTGCTTTGGAAACCTGTCTTCCTCTCTTCCATTTCTATGACCAATAGCCAAATGCAGGTCTTGTGCCTGCTCTGTTGTAAACTCCATTCGCTGGTCTATCTGCCTCAAGTACCTCATTCCAGTCCATCATCTATCATGCGAGCTAAAGAGATCTTTCTAAACCTTATATATGTATAATATATATACACATTTATATTGAATCTATAATAAAATGCAAGGTCTTTGGTGGCATTTAAGGTCCTTCACCAGGAAGACCCAGCAGGGCCTCCTCTCTGACTGTTCCCCCGAGGACAGATGACCACTCACCCCAGTGCCTTGGCACCTCCTGCTCCCTTTGGCTGGACCATTGGTTCCCCTTCTACCTAGGCTTTATCTGCAAGTTAAAACGTCCTCATTCTCATTGAAAATTTCCTTGATTCTCTAAGGTACACAATCACTCCCTTCTCTAAGCTCCCTCAGCCTTTACATCCCTCTACTAGATGTTTTATCACATTGTATTATAATTACTAATGCACCTAGATCTTGGGTTATCATGCACATAAAAACTAGTTCCATCTTTTAATCTTTAATTTTTCTTTGCATCTCTATCTCTGAGCACAGTGACAGACACAACAAATGTTGAATTATGGCTGCTGGATACATGTGCATGTGCAAAGCAGAGATCAAAGTAACTTCCTGTCCTTCAGGTGATGTCCATTTGATTTTACTTTTTTATCTGGCCTGCAAAGCCCCATGTAGTGGCACCTCTGCCCAACCCTGTTGCCTCATTACCACCAACTCCCTCCTGACTCAGTAATTTTTTACAGTGACCTCCATTTTTACCAAACTACTTCTTAAAAATAAAAAAAAAATTTTGTTTTCTCTTTTCTTTACTTGGGACCCTCATAACCTGGATTTCACATGGCTGAGACCTTCCTGTCCTTTGGATTTTGGCTCAAATGTCACCTTTAAAGGGGGTCTTCTCTGGCCACTGTATCTGAAGTTTGCTTCCCCAATTACTCTTTAACTATTGCTACTTCATTTTTTAAAGTGATTATTACTCTCTGAAATTATCTTGTATGTATGCTTACCTGGTTTTCATTGGCTTTTTGCCAACTAGAATTGAAACTCTTTAAGACCCGTCTGTCTTACTCACTGCAGTATTCTCAGTGGTTAGCACTCCGAGAGGAACTTACCGTGTATTAGTGCATCCATTGTCCCCTTCTTCCTGGAAAGGCTTCAGCTATTGTGTAGGTCATCGTGGTATCTTTTATTAGGCATAGATGAACTAAGAATGTTTAAGGAAAGAAAGTCACATTGGCATACCATGGGCTGGGGTGGGAGAGGAAGTGGAGTGCCACAAATTTGTAGCTGTGGGATGACAGGATTGAATCACAGTCTCTTTTCACCCTGGATGGCAAAACCTTAACAGCTTACTTCTCCACACCATACAGAGCACTTTCACATCCACAATCTTATTTGATATTCGTAACAACCTTATCTGGTAGTTATTATTCTCCCCAACATCAAAACTGAGGCCAAAAGAGGCAACTGATTTGGCCAAGATCACACACGTGTAAGTGGTGCTGCCCTTTCCACTACTGGAATTTCTTCCCACTACTGGCTCCTGTCCTCCAGGATTTCACATCAGTAAGAGACACAGGCACAAACAACAATGAACCGTAATGTGACTGGATCGATATTCAGCAGTGGTTCTCAACCTAGAGATGGGTGTAGTGGGGAAGCAGTGGATAGGCAGGGTCGGAATAAACCAAAATTTTGTTCAATAACAATTACAATTTGTTCAGTACTTCCCAGGTGTCAGGTACTGTGCTAAGTGTTTTACACACTGTTTATTCCTGCCTATTTCTATCCCCATTTTACAGAGTTAACAGAACCTCGGGAAGGTTAAGTAGTAACTTGGCTAAGGTCATGAGGCTGTTAAACAGTTGAGCTGGGCCTTAGCCTGAATTTGATTCAAAGCCTGAGCTCTTAACCATTGTGCACCACAGACCTACTATGAGTCTGGGATTTGAAGACAATTCTCAGGTTATTCTGTATCTCCTGACCCCTACTGAAAAGCACTCATGAAGAGAGTGCTGCAAAAGGAGAGGGCGGAGGGATGAAACCCAGCTGTGGGGAGGAGGTACAGGTGGCTGAAACCGAATCTTGAAGGATTAAGTGGGAGTTTCGAGGCAGACAAAAGATGGAGAGTATTTCAGAGAGGGGAAACATTCAAGGGCTTTGGGGTGTGGAAATGAAGGAACTATTATTGCTTGATGTGGATGGAGTGTAAGGCTGATGTTAAGAGGTAGGGGACAGGAAATGAGGCTGGAATTCAATATGGACTTGGCCATATGCCTTTATCCCAGAAGCAGTGGAGTAAGTGCCATTGAAGAAGAGCTCTGCCTTAACAACTGCCATTACTACTTCAGTCATCCCATGGTAGCAACATTGAATCAGTGCTTTACAGTTTGCAAAGTGCTTTCTATTAACAAAATATCATTCTGGAGTGATGTGGACCTGAAGCTCTGTAAGGGCACCATGCCTGTGGACTTGTTCTTATTGTTGCCTAGCACCTAGCAGAGAACCTGGAACAACGTGGGTGCTCAGGAAGTATTTGTTGAACAGGAAGAAACTGGAGGAGTCTGCTGCAGTAATGCAAGAAAGAAAGAATTGGTGAGAAGCATCACTTATCCAAGAATGCAGAATTCCTTGAAGTACTGACTGTGGAAATTAAACACCTATGGCCCCCTAACTATGAGTGTGTTGGGGAGGCTGGGATTTAGCTATCCAAAATGGTTCCTAAATAATTGCAACCATTGTCCTCTCCAACATACAGAAAAGCATATTGGCACCCAGGCAGCCAACACCCAGGAAAGCCAGGATTTCCTCTGTTATAGGTACTTTATGTCTTTTGGCTCCTAGAATTTGGTCCTGATGGTCTCTATTACGTGGCAATAACATTATATGCCATCGTTTGTTTCAGTGTTTTAGAGGCAATCACCATGCTAATGAAACTTGGTTTTGGCTCAAGAACTAAAATCTACCTTCTGTTTCTCCACCCCTCCAGGAAGTCCACATGGACCCTGATAATGGCTAACTTACAGATGGCTGACTTGCATCAGGCCCCATTAAAGCCCTAGACATGTATTAACCCTACGAGGTAGGTATGATTATCTTATCCCCACTTTACAGATGAAGAAAAATGAAGTCAAGAGAGTTGCACAGGATTGCACCCTGATAGAGGCATGCTTCAAACCCTGGCTGTTTGACTTCAGGGCTCCAACACTGTACCTGACTGCCTCCCACATAAAATCCTTCCATTTTGTTTCCTCCCAGACCTCTGAAAGCCTGGACTTAATTTCATCTCTGAGAGCCTCAGTTTCCTCTTCTGTAAAGTGGGGATAAAAATAGCTACAAGAAAGGTTGCTGGGGAAAACTAATGAGATAACATATGAAGGCATCTAAATGGTATCGGTTCCTTTCCTGATCTTTGTCTTCCAGACCAGTGGTTACATATCTACCCAGCTGCTTGGGCCACAAACCCAGGGGCCACTGTTGAATTCTTTCCCTCAACATCCAATCCACCAACAAGTCATTTAGGCTGTAACACCAAAATGCACCCTAACTAAGTCTACTTCTCTCCCTCTCCACCATATCCCCTCTCACCCACCCCATCATAATCTCCTTCCTGGACTACAACAGCTTCTGCACTGGGTTCACTCTTGCTCCCCAAAGTGATTTTTAAAATATCTTTCCCACACAGAAGAGAACACAAATCAAGTGAACAATTTAATTAATTATCAAAAGTGAGCACAATTGTGCAACCAGCTCTCAGAGAGTAAGAACATTATGAGTCCCCATCATGGCACCCCAGTTATTACTCCCTTACTCCTCTGACACTGTAAATTAATATTTCTGAATATGAAATCAGAGTATTTTGGTCTTTTGTGTTTGTGTTTTTCTTTTAGTATCATATTTGTGAGATTGATTTATGTTGTCTTTGTCAACAACGCTACTTTTCATTACAATGTAGTATTCCACTGTATGACTGTGTCTCAATCTGTTGATGGATTTTCGGGTTTCTAAATTTTGTATAGATCTTTTGACACATATATGTAAGGGTTATATTCCCAGGAGTGGAATAAATAGGTAAGGTGTGTGTATATTCAGTTTTAATGGATGCTTCCAAAGAGTTCTCCAAATTGGGGATACCAATTTACACTCCCATAAACTGTATCTGAGAGTTCTAGTTCTGCATCCTCATCAACACTTGTATTGTCAATCTATTTTTGCTTTTATCCATTCTACACATGTAGTGATTTTAATATGAATTTACCTGATGACTAATGAAGTATTTTCCCATATGTTTAATGACTATTTGGAAAACCTCTTTTGAAGTGCTTATTCATGTCTTTTGTCAATTTTTCTATTGTGATATCTGTAATTTTGTTATCAACTTGCAGGAATTGTTTATATGTTCTCGATAGGACTCCTTTGAGGTTATATATATTTTAAGTATCTCTTCCCAGCCCATGGCTTGTACTTTCACTCTGTTGATGGTGTCTTTTGATAACACAAGTTGCTGGTTTTATCGTAGTTCAATTCATCAATTTATCAATTTCCTTTATGGTTAGTGCTTTTTGTGTTCTTTGTGTTTTGTGTTGAGGAAATTTTTGTCTGTCCAAGGTCATGGAAACATTGTATTTGTTATCTTTTAGAACCCTTATTGTTTTATCTCTTATATTTAGATTTACAATCCAAGTAAAATTGATTTCAGTGCATGGTGTGAAATAGGGGTTAAGATTATTATTATTTTTTCTACCATATGGCTGCCCTATTGACACAGTACCATTTACTGAAAGAAAGACTG